TGACCTCAAAATGGCCCCAAAATGTCCCAAAATGTCCCCAAAATGGCCCCAAAATGTCCCAAAATGTCCCTCAAAATGGCCCTCAAAATGTCCCAAAATGTCCCCAAAATGTCCCCAAAATGTCCCCAAAATGTCCCCAAAATGGCCCCAAAATGTCCAAAAAATGTCCCAAAATGTCCCCAAATGTCCCCAGAACGTCGCTCACCTTGGCCGCCGTCGGGGACAGAACTTTTTTCTTTTTCTTGATCTTGATGCCGGGGACGGGCGCCGAGTTGAGGGCGTCCAGGAACCCGAGGCCTTCCATGGCTGAGGAGAGCACAGAGGGGTCACCAAAAACCCCCAAATTCACCCCAAAATGGGTCCCAAACCTGCCTCAAAATGGCGCCAAAATTGGGCCTAAAAGGGATCCCAAATCCACCACAAAATGGGTCTGAAAGTGGCACCTGGAAAGGTCCCAGATATTGCCTGAATTGGCACCAAAATGACCCAAAAATGGCACCAAAATGACCCAAAAATGGCACCAAAATGACCCAAAATGGCATCAAAATGAGCCAAAAATGGCACCAAAATGACCCAAAATGGCACCAAAGTGACCCTAAAAATGGTCTCCAAATGACCCCAAAATGGTACCAAAATGACCCCAAAATGGCCCCAAAATGACCCCAAAATGGCCCCAAAAAGACCCAAAAAATGGCACCAAAATGACCCCAAAATGGCCCCAAAATGAAACCCCAAAACGACCCCAAAATGACACCAAAATGAAACCACAAATGGCACCAAAACCTCAAAAATGGTATCAAAATGACCAAAAATGGCCCCAAAATGACCCAAAAATGGTACCAAAATGACCAAAAAATGGCACCAAAATTACCCCAAAATGGTACCAAAATTATCAAAAAATGGCACTAAAATGACCCAAAAATGGCACCAAAATGACCCAAAAAATGGCACTAAAATGACCCAAAAAATGGCACCAAAAAGAAACCCCGAAATGACCCCAAAATGAGCCAAAAAGCCCCGAAATGGCCCCAAACTCACGCTGTGGGGGGATGATTTTCACTTTGATCTCCTTGGCCGCGTTCGGGGCCGTGTTCAGGGGTTTGTATTTCTTCTCTGCCAGAGGAGCCTCCCCGGGGGCTGTCGGGGCGCTGGGGGGACGAAAAAGGGTCAAAACCCCCCCAAAATCATCCCAAAGCCACCCCAAAACCACCCCAAAATCCCAAAAAACCACCCCAAAATCCCAAAAAAACCACCCCAAAACTGCCCCCAAAATCCCCCCAAAACCACCCCAAAATCCCCCCAAAAACCCAGAACTGACCCCCCGGAATGGCTCCAAAACAGACCCCAGACCCCAAAAAAACCCTGAAATTGCCCCAAAACCACCCCCAAAGTGGCCCTAAAATTGCCTCCGAAAATGGCTCAGAGACCCCAAAAATGGACCCCAAAACCCCCCAAAAATGGCCCTGAGACCCCAAAAATTCTCCCTAAATCCTCCCAAAATGCCCCACAGATCCCAAGAATGGTCCCCAAAATGGGCTTGAGACCCAAAAAACAGCCACAAAATGCCCCAAAAATAGCCCAGAGACCCCAAAAATGCCCCCAAATCCCCCCAAAATAGCCCAGAGACCCCAAAAATGTCCCCAAATCCCAAAATCGCCTTGAGACCCCCGAAATGCCCCCAAAATCGCCTTGAGACCCCCGAAATGTCCCCAAATCCTCACAAAATCGCCTTGAGACCCCCGAAATGTCCCCAAATCCTCCCAAAATCGCCTTGAGACCCCCGAAATGTCCCCAGACCCCACCTCTGCCTCTTGACCGGGACGGGTTTCAGGCTGTATTTGTCGGACGAGGCCGAGTTCAGTTTCTTCACCGGCGCCAGCGACGGCGTCTCCAGCTCCAGCCCTGAGGGAAAAACGGGTCAGAAATACCCAAAACAGCCCCAAAAAGCTCCAAAACCAACCCTAAAACGGCTCTGAGGCGCTAAAACCTCAATAAAGAGCTCCAAATTCACCAAATCCAACCCCAAATTCACCCCAAATTCACTAAACCAGCCCCAAACTCCCCCAAAACAGCACCACTTCCACCACAAATTCCCCAAAACAGCCCCAAATTCCCAAAAATCAACCCCAAATCCGCCCCAAATTCACTAAACCAGCCCCAAACTCCCCCAATATAGAGAAAACCCCAATAAAGAGCTCCAAATTCACCAAATCCACCCCAAATTCACTAAACCAGCCCCAAACTCCCCCAAAACAGCCCCAAACCCACCCCAAATTCCCCAAAATTCACCAAAACCAACCCCAAATTTCCCTTAAAACCAGTCCTAAGTTCCCAAAACCAGCCCCAAACTCCCCCAAAACAGCCCCAAACCCACCCCAAATTCCCCAAAATTCACCAAAACCAACCCCAAATTTCCCTTAAAACCAGTCCTAAGTTCCCAAAACCAGCCCCAAACTCCCCTAAACCAGCCCCAAATCCCAGAATTCCCAGGAATTCCAGAAA